AACCTTTGGTCTTCCCAGTTCTAACGAGCATCATCATCGATAGGTGTCCAAAGCTAAAAAAGCTTCCACTTAATAAAGAGAGCTCCAAGGGAAATGATCTTAGCCTAGAATCAGATGACAAAGAATGGTTGGACGGAATCGAGTGGGAAGATGAAGAAACTAAAGACCGGTTGCTCCATTAGTATCAGGTAAAAATAAAAAGCATTAAAATGGTTTTCAATGTCAATCATACATTTCTAACTTCACATCTGTTTTGATATATATTAACAGGTTGCCCCATAGACATGCAACTCTACGGCTTGCGAGACAACTCATTTCGCGAGTTACTACTGTTTGCCTTCGGGCTTAAACTTTTCCCTCTGCCTTTGGAGCTCTCTCTCTCTCTTCAGGCTGAAACTATGTCCCATTCTCTTGTTCCATATTATATATGATCGGTTTGAATTTGGTCTGAAGAAACTTGAATTGTATTCACGAGTGGGTTTTTTCAACTTTCTGAAGTTTAAACGTTGTCAGTGTGCATGTAAGATTATTGTTGTCTAAACTTTGTTATGTGATTTGTATGTCGCACATGTGTGTGTTGTGCTACTAAATATGCCCATTTCAAAATTCTACTGGGGTTGTATGGAATTGTGTTACATAAGCTTTATGAATACTAAATCGTATTATAGATTGATCATTAACGGGTTTGCGGTAGAGAGATATATTAATGTTTCCGATTCAGTTTTGTAAGTTTCAGATTTTATATCCGAACAAAAGAGATCTAAAGTGGGTTTGGTTTGTAATGTAGTTGGGGATTTGGGATTTGATTAGTTTTTGGACAGTCCAAGGAAGTGGGGACGACGCAGCAAAAGATGCATGTCAACGTGTACAAATTAAGTTCATTGCATTTTGCATAAAAGATATATGCATTAATTGCATACAGATTTCTTGTTCAAATATTTTGTTATATGGTCAGCATTTAGCACCAAATGAATCGCATTATCTACTTTTATCTACGTGGCCAGATTGTCACACTCATATGTCACACGTGTCACATCTCCAGTGACATCAACAGTCGCCACGCGTCTCGATTCATCGTCTATCACTATCGTCTCGTGAATAATTTATTGATTATGATCATCACCAGAAGCTCCTCCAACAAATTTGCTTTTGTTTTGACGACGTAAAGCGACGTTTGATGTGTTACAACACGTACCTGACCCTTTACATTGTGGAAAGGCCAATTCCATACAAGATTGTAGGGTTTCTTAAGTTGTTATTGATAGTGAGGTAAAAGATTTTGCGTATCTTTATGTTTGTTGAAGAGTAAGAGATATCAAAAACGTGTTGGTCTCATTCCACGGCGGATTGAGAATTTTGAGGGGACAGGGTATTGTAAAATCATTTTGATAAAAAAATAATTTTGTTTATATTTTTTCTGAACGAAAGATATGGAGATAAACTTCATGGTTGAAAATCAATAATGGTCCATGCAAATCCAAGTAGGTACTCAAATATTATCCACGTGAAAACGTAAATGAACCGTTTTTAGCATCATTTGGTTTATTTCTCAAATACGGTTTAATCCCATAATAGATGATTTGAAAAATAAAGACTCACTAAGATCAGAGTTTGGAAACAGTATAACACATACACATCCCATGATTAGACATAATCTCAATTATTAATAAGCAAATGATTGGTTGTCATTAGTTTAAAATATTCAAAAACTAGTTGACAAAAGAAGTTTCATTGTATGTAAGCAGAACTAGCTGAGTGAGTCCCCAATCTTAAGGATGATTAGTGTAGTAAAGACTTTATGAAAAATATAGTAATGATTAAAAAGTCAAATCTTTTACTATTTAAGCTTAGATAAAGAGAGACAAAGTTGCTTAACCCCACTTGGTGTGTGATGCTTTCTTTTTTTGGCAGTGTTCCTTTATGATAACACATCACAAGACTTTAGTGTATCACAGGCCCATGTCACTTTAAGATAAGATAACATATTCTAATATACACTATTATTTATCATGTTTTTGTATGAGTATTTAATTATTTATAGACACACCATGAATTAATTGTAATAATGCAAAGGACCTGTGCCATGTAACAGAGACAGTCGAAGTGTGCAGAGGTCGGTGAGAAGCAATTTGGTTCAATAATAATAACCATGCCCCAACTCTCTTCTCTAGGTCCCTTTTAATTTCCTTCTTTTAAGACCATCATTATTGATGATCTTTTGTGAGTATTATTAGATATAAAATTATTAAAATACACCTTCTCTTTTCTTTTTACTCAACTTTATACTTTCTCTTTCATCTTTTTATTCAATTTTTATTAATTTTATATTTAAACACACCCCAACTAAAGTTTAAACTCTCCCCAAAAGTATCAACCCATTGATACAAAGACACTTTCTCTTCAAAAGTATCAACTCATCTCCTCTTTTTATTCAAATTTTATTAATTTTATATTTCAATATACTCCATTATTTCAACCAAAAACACTCTTTTTCTTCCTTTTACTCAAATTTTAATAATTTTATATCTAATAATACCTACCAAAGATCATCAATAATGATGCTCTAATAACCATATCTTTTTGTTTTCCACGGCAAAAACACCACTTTTATTAAGCAAGTATTTTAACCTCGTATTTTAATCGTTTTAGCAAAATGATAAGC